TTATTTAGCCCTTTATTTTTTTATTTTTTTTAAAGATTTGATTTATTTGACAGAAGCACAGCGAGAGAGAGGGAACACAAGCAGGGGGAGTGGGAGAGGGAGAAGCAGGCTTCCCACGGAGCAGGGAGTGGGATGTGCGGCTCGATCCCAGGACCCTGGGATCATGACCTGAGCTGAAGGCAGACACTTAACGACTGAGCCACCCAGGCGCCCTATTTAGCCCTTTAAATGTCAGGAAAAGGAGTTTAGACTTTTAATAGTAGGAAAGTATGGCTTTGAAGGGAGTTGGGGGAGGGGATTAACGTGTTAGAACAGCATTTCCATAACACCAATCTGGAATCATTTGCTGGACCCGTTATAAAAGAGTGCATGGAGTTACAGAATCCTGGAATCCCCAGGTAGTGGGTAGAAAAGGCAGGGGTTAGAAGATAACATTGGGAATGAAGTGGAATTGAGCCCCAGAGAGAAATTCTTAATGAACAATGGCTGACTAGCCAGCTGTCTGCCATGGAGGATAAAGGAGGAGTTTATATTTTAGAAGTACCATTCCTGGATTTATGTTTCTCCCTCCCCCTCTCTCTGTCTCTGCCTCTCCTTCCCAGAACCCTTCCACCTCCTCTACAGATCAGTTCTTTTATTGGGATTAGGGACCACTAGTTAGGAATTGTTCTTTTTGTATAAGAACTTGAGGTTTTCAGATGATTTTGAAAAACTCCTTTCTGTTGTTTTCATTGCCCCAGTAATATGATAGTCTGTTCTGTTTAAATAAATTTGGCCATTCTGTTTTCCTTCATGCATGTGAGTTTTAAGGGCTTTTCTACTTAATAACAAAATTATAGCACAACTAAGAACACTATTTTTTTGTCTTGTCTCCCCTGTTAATTCAAAAGATGCTTTAACTCCAGTTGTGCCTGCCTTGCCCTAGCAATCAACAAGAAGGGGAGAGCGATTTATGATTTTCTAGAGACAACAGTATGCTGGAATTTTATTGGAATGAAAGACAAAGATAGTAAAGGAAATTCTACCCATTAGGGTACATCCCAGAATCTTTCTCTGAAGGAATTAAGTGCTTTGGGGAGTGCATTAAATCTTCAGATTTGTTACATTTGGGGAAAAATTAGATGATTTTCCCAAGTTACTTAACGGCTACTTTTAGTACATTAATCGTATGCTATAGCGGGTTTCTTTTTCAACTAAAAGCAAAGCTACAGGGTGTGTCCTATGTTTTCTTTTTTACATTCTTAGTACATAGAAGTATTCTATGCTTATTAACTTACACCATGCTGAGGATTGATGTCATGGACCCTATGACATGTGAAATCATTCTTTTTGATTGGATCAGAGGGATTCGATGTATGCTGAATGACCATAGCAAAGGATGTAGCCAGGAGGACTGCTTATGTGGCATTTGAAATACTAGAGCTCTGAAGTTTGGATCCTTAAAAAAAAAAAAAAAAAATCTAGAAAGATCACTGTGTTGGGAAGGACTATGAAGAGAGCAAGACCTCATGGAATTGAGAAGCCCTAGAGCAGGGAGACAGGAGTTCTGGCCAGAATCTCAAGAGTTATGAAGCAGAAATTTGAACTCCAGCTCAGAAGAGACGTGCAGGGCAAAAAAAGCTTATATTCTGACAAGCTAGAGTTGAATTCAAACCTGGACAGGGTCTGGACAGCAGGTAGAGTGGACACATCTGGCATGACCTTTTACTGAACCAGATTCCCATAGAGCAGAGGACCTTAGTAAGCTTTCTGCCTGGGGTGAAGGGGAGGGACTGAAAATAGAAGAGTGAGGTACCCCACAGTTGAGGGACCAAGCAGTCCTGGAAAAGTTTGGAAAAGTGAATTATTGAAAGCCATTTAATTCACAACTGATTTTGTTACATGCTGAGTCACATAGGATGTACCCCAAAGTATGTAGCTTCATTTTGTCCTTTAAGTAGTGGGTAATTTTTCTACATGTTTTAACATTTTGAGATCAGGCAGAAATTTAGTTGTGAGAGCTTTTAAAGTCTTTCATGTCCTTGATAGTTATAGAACTTCATATTTCAAAGTTCTTTTCACTCTTCCCTCCTCCTTCACATATATTTCTCTCGAAGCCTTCCTCCTGAGTCCTTTAATAATCTATGCTGCAAGATTTAGCTAATATACTCAATTACACAAGTATGAACCAAACACGGCAACAATATTTTTTCCCCTAAGCCTATTTTCTCTTTGACCTACAAATGGTTTACTTAGGCATTGGAAATATGGTTATTGGTAAAATTTGAAAGGTTTATTAATTTGGACAAAAATCTAAATGAAAAAGTATAATTAGAAGGTGTGAATGGAATTTGTTTGGCTTAAGCAATATATAATATCTATATCTCCCAACTTAGTTATAGTTTAAACTTTTAAAAAATGATTTACCTGTTTCTAAACCAACAGTGTTATAAATGCCTTTCTCCACTTCCCTGTTCTACATCAGCTGAATCACTAAGCCTACTAACTGTTTTTTGAATTGTTCACTTCTGTCAGCAGATATAGTTTTGCTTGTCAGCCCACATTGAACTTGTCTCCAAGATTGTATATTACTAGAACCAGGTGCATACCAGACCCTCAGTACTTTATGAAGAAATGAATGATTTGATGTAATATGATTATCAGTGAATAGATTTATATTTATTTTTTTCTTGACATTCCAGTTGTATTAAAATACATCTTCTTTCTTTTTATTGGAAAAGTTATTTTTAATTTAAATAGAAGTTATTTAGCTGTTAAAATACCATTTGAAATATTTTTCTGTGGAATTGAATATTGAATAATTGAGAAGACAAATTTTAGCAGTGTTTTTCAGAAATTAAAGTCGCTATCTACCAATAAAGAAGCTATTTTAGTATGACAGTATGACAGAATGAGAGGCAGACTCCCCACTGATTAAAAGAATGTGTCTGGGGGTGCCTGGGTGGCTCAGTCGTTAAGCTTCTGCCTTCGGTTCAGGTCGTGATCCCAGAATCCTGGGATAGAGTCCCGCATCGGGCTCCCTGCTTGGCAGGAAGCCTGCTTCTCCCTCTCCCACTCCCCCTGCTTTTGTTCCTGCTCTCGCTATCTCTCTCTCTCTCTCTGTTAAATAAATAAAATCTTTAAAAAAAAAAAAAAAAAGAATGTGTCTGTGGCTAGTATATGTATTATGAAAACTATTGGGGTTTGTTAATTACTATTATTTGTATATCTGTGCTTAGCGTCAGGGATATGATTATTCTTGGGAATTTTTGCTTCCAGATATTCATGCCATGCTCATAGTTGAGTATCATTACAAGGAACTCTTTCTGTTTTTTGAACTTTAGTTTTCTTAAGCTGATTATAATTGTGAACCTCTGTGTATTATTTGTCGTAGAAGTACAGGTTTTCCTCAAACCAAGGAAATGTTAGATTTAAGACTAAAAGTTCTTTGTAAAACCATTCAAGTTATTCTGTAAATTTCAGAAACAGTGCATGAATTTAAAAATTTTTTCACCTGACAGCAGAAAATTGCTAAAGGTCCTCATCTGATACAGTGTCCCACCCTACGTCTTTTTGTGGTCATTCTCTAATAGCAGGCCCACAATAATCTGCAGGATAGGTATTATTACTCTTATTTTCCAGGAAGAACAGACGTTGACACCATAGTGACTGTGTCATAGCTGTTTGACTTAAGGTTCCTCCCCCCCACCCCACCGCCCGTTCTTCGGTTCTCAAGTAGGCAGTTGAATATCGTCTAGATTTCAAGGAGGAAGCTTTAGACTGGAGTTGTATTGATAAATTTATACAAGTACAAATTTGGTGTTCTTACCAAAAAGTATTTTTATAGAATTGGTTGAATGTTTCTAAGTGTGGGACATGGCAATATTGTACATGAAATGTAGTTGTTGATAAATGCTCTACCTTAGCGGTTTTGCCTTTTTTACCCTCACCTGGTTCCAATGTATAGGATTTTCTTTAGTGCCCTAAGAATTCCTGGATTCCTGAATCAGAATTCTGGGAGAGGCTTCCATTTTTGCCTCTGTATTTGCACTTTTTTTTCGAGAGCTGTTCAAAAGAAATATAATAAAGCCAGTTAGGTAAGTTTAAATTATCTAGTAGCCACATTAAAAGATACAAAACAGGTAAAATGCATTTTACTAATAAAGTTTATTTAAACTCATTATTTAAAATATTATAATTTGAGCTTGTAATCAGTATTACAAACTTATGATTTTTTTACCTTTTTTTGGTACTAGGTCTTTGAAATATGACATATATTTCATACTAATAGTATGTCTCAGTTGAGATTAACCACATTTCAAGTGCTCATTAGCCAGTAGCCAACTGGACAGCATAGGCAGGCCTATAAGTAGATATGAATACCCTGACACATGGTGCTCCCAGAAATTAACCATAGGCTTCTTACTGGTAAGAAACAAGTTACTATTTTATATTATCAAAACAAAATATAGAAATGTTTTATATCATATTCCAAATAAATGAAAATGTACTTAACTTACAAAAGCAATGTTGTACCTTACAGAGAGGAGGGCCCTGGAAAGTATCAAAGAAGGAGTCTTGAAAATTAAAGAAGAACCATCTAAAATACTGTCTGGAAATAAGTTTCAAGACCGGTATTTTGTTTTACGAGATGGGTATCTCTTTCTCTACAAGGATTCAAAGGTAGTTGTATATTTAGTATTTGAATATGTATGCATGTTTGTGTAGGTATTAACATTCTCATTTCGTACCTCTGTCAGTCCTCTCTTGACAGTCAAGCCCTGTAGTAAACAGAACACACAGTCAGCTGATGATTTCTTGCAGCCTCTGGATATAACATTAATACACTAAGTAACACAGTGAAGAACTTCATATAGCCTTTTTTTTTTTTTTTAAGATTTTATTTATTTATTTGAGGTGGGGGAAGCACAGAGGGAGAATAAGAGGCAGACTCCACACTGAGCAGTAGAGCCCGATGTGGGGCTCGATCCCAGGACCCTGGGATCATGACCCGAGCTGAAGGCAGACGCTTAACCGACTGAGCCACCCAGGTGCCCCGCATATAGCCTTTCTGAGCACTTCTCATTTTTTAGTGCAGAGAAGTCCTTAAAGAAAAGTCTAATATGTGTTACATAAGCTAGCATATAAATCAGCATCTTCATCAATAAAATTAAGAGCCATCAAAAAGGATGAACTCTTACCAATTACGTGGTTGTAACTGGAGGGTATTATGCTGAGCGAAGTAAGTCAATCAGAGAAAGACAATTATCATATGGTTTCACTCATGTGGAATATAAGAACCTGCACAGAAGATCATAGGGGAAGGGAGGGAAAACTGGGAAGAAATCAGAGAGGGAGACAAACCATGAGAGGCTCTTAACTATAGGAAACAAACAGGGTTGCAGAAGGGGAGATGGGTGCGGGGATGGGGTAACTGAGTGTTGGGCATTAAGGAGGGCACGTGATGTGATGAGCACTGGGTGTTATGTGCAACTGATGAATTACTGAACTCTACATCTGAAACTAATGATGTACTATATGTTGGCTAATTGAATTTAAGTTAAAAAAAAATGTTACGCCCTGAGGCAAAAGTTTATTTCTAGGATGAGAGAAATAAATGTTCTCTATCCAGTTTTGGGTGGTGATTACAAGTGTATGCAGTAACATCTCTACTTCCTTGAGGTTCAGATAACACCTACACAATAATTTAAATGTAGAATGACAGCAGGATCTAAAGGCACTTTTTTATATTGAATTATAAAATTCATTTGGGTATACATTGCTTGCATACTTTAAGTGTGTGGTGCTTCGCTGTGGTCTGTTGTGGAGATGTATAAACACAGACCAGACTAGTAGCATATCTGTGAATATGTTGTGAAGAAAGGATTTATAGGCAGCTTTCCAAAGCTCTGTGGTCTCATTTTTTTATGGCTTCTGTTGAGCTCTCCACATGCTTTGACCACTTTTCCTGTACGTTCCTCCAGCAGAGAGGCCTCCATGTGAGCATAAATAAATCTGAGTAGCATTCTTCCTTTGATTAGGACAGTGGACTCTCTAGGCAGGGGGGCTAACAAAACAGCACTGAATCCTGCAGCCCTCGTCTATTCAGAGAGCTATATTAAATACTGTACTCGAACTCCCACCTTTTTATTCCATCTCATAGACCCAGCAGGGAGTCTGTATGGGTATCAGATGGTTATTATTTATTATCATTCTTCAGTTTTTCTAGTAGACGAAGAGTGGAGTTTGCAGAAGTGAGGCACAGAAGAATTTGGGGTTGTGTGAACTAAACACATCAGATTTTGAGGTTCATGAACTTAACAGATTTGTATTCATGAAAGTAAATTCAGGACTTCACAGCTGATTATTCTAGCCATCTAGAACTGGATCTGATTGAATTTTCTTTGGTTTTCTTCAATGGGTCACCCACTTTGACCTTCATTAGACTGACTTCCTTAATCCTTGCCCTTCTATATACATACTATGTTGGTTAAGGGTCACTTTTGTAGTTGGGTACCTGCTTAAGGTATTTAAAAATGAACCTGAACTTTTTGGTCCCACTAAGGAATCAACATTTCTTTTTTTTAATTAATTTATTTTTTAAAAGATTTTATTTTATTTATTTATTTGACACAGAGAGAGAGATAGCAAGAGCAGGAACACAAGCAGGGGGAGTGGGAGAGGGAGAAGCAGGCCTCCCGCCGAGCAGGGAGCCCAACACGGGGCTTGATCCCAGGACCCCGGGATCATGACCTGAGCTGAAGGCAGACGCCCAATGACTGAGCCACCCAGGTGCCCCAAGGAACCAACACTTCTATTGTGTAGCAACAGAAGGTTGCTCTATAAAAAGTAGAGTTCTATACATTTCACTTGGATTATCTCATTTTACCTTTATAATAACCCCGTGAAATTAGTACTATAATTATTCCCACTTTACAGATGAAGAAACGGCACTTACCAAGATATTACATAACTTGCCCAAGATACCATAGCCAATGAGCAGCAGAGTGTTCATTCCCAGGTGTCAGATTCCAAAGGCTCCATGCAGGGACTTACTAAACAAATAATAATTTTGCATTATTTTAACTTGGTGGATAAGTCTTTTTCATTTAAGCAGTACCAAAGATTCCCAAATATGACAATCCATACAATTCATTTTTTTGTAGTGTTTTCCCCCAAGCTGATGTAAATTTAAAAATCTGCCACAGGAAGCTTGTTCATGGACAAGTGATTTTTTTTTTTTTTTCCACATGGATTGATTTTTGTGAGAGAAATAATCTCATACCCTTTAACAATATGTTTTAAGAATTTATATCTTTTTGAAAGGTTGAACCTGCTCAGTCTAAGATAATTCATAGAGTGACAGTATCGAGTTTGTCTTAAAGAGTGGTTTTTTGTTTTTTTGACATTTGAAATACTTCTTTTTCCCAGCTTTATTAAGGTATAGTTGTATATATTTACACTGTACAAGATGATGTTTTGATACACTGCACATTGTGAAACGATTACTTCAGTCAAGCTAATTAACATACCCATTACCTCACATAGTTATCTGTTGGCTTTGAGTGTGTGTGTGTGTGTGGTGAGAACATTTAAGATGTACTCTCAGCAAATTTCAAGTATGAGGTACAATATTAACTGTAGTTATCATGCTATACCTTAGATCTCCAGGACATTCATTTTGCATAACTGAAATTTTATACCCTTTGACCAATCTCTCTCCATTTCCCCACCTCCAACTCCTGACAACAACTATTCTACTTTCTGCTATGATTTCGACTTTTTTAAATTCCATGTGTAAGTGTGAGATACACTATTTGTCAGAAAGACAGTGCTTTTTAAGGACATTGAACACATTTTGTTTTTATAACAGTGACCCCAGGTTATGGAATTATGATTATTGTGCTTAAAAGTTGTATTTGTACATCTGTCAGAATAAATTAATGCAACGGATACTTTAATTAGCACATTCAGGCAAGCAGAGGAGACTTGGCTTATGGTTTTCCTTAAACTACCATTTTTTTCAACACATGATTTTATGTGGCTGGTTATTTTTTCATGTTGCTGCTCTGTCCCTTTTAATATTGATGGTTGAGTCACTGGCAATGTTAACATTTCCAGTTATTTTACAGTAAATAAGCAATAGCGAAAACCTAACTTATTTGAATAAACATTTGGCTCTGGTTTTGACAGTTGCCATTAATATATGTGTGCTTGAATATACTTAGAAAATGATTTACTGAGAAGGAAGTGGAAATTACAAATTGAAAAGTATACTTAAAAAGACTGTGTTAATTAGAGATAATTTATGAATGCCCATTAACAACAAATTAGGGTAGTACACAGGGGAAGATATATTTTGTTTTGAGTTTTCCCTGTACAGAAAATGTTAATTAAAATGTTTTCAGACTTGATTTACATAAAAGGTGAGAAGTTTCAAAGAATATTATCATTGTACTGTTACTGGTGTGAAAAAAGCAAGTGGGTAAGGGAGGGGTCATTAAAAGTTGCATGCACTAATAAGCAGATTCCTTTTAGGAGCAAGAATAATTTTTTAAGCACACTAATTTAATTGGCTTAGTTAAAAACTTTATTTTGAATTATAGTGCCTGAAGTAACACATTAGAGAATTCCTAACAGTCTAGTATATTGAGCTTCTTGAAGAAATTATCCAGCAAATACACATACCAAAAGAGAGAACTGTAATAAACCAACAGTAATCTTGCCAAATTAGATTTCTTTTTGTAGAACTTTCCGTTAGTATCCTTACAGTTCCACTTTATGCATATTCAGTTTAAAGACAGAAACTTAAAAAGCTTTCTTTCCACCGCTGCTGATTTCCTCTCAAATTCTGTCATTAGTGTTCTTTTTGGACAGGATATATGGTATAAAGTAATGAGCCTGCATGTCAGGAGAATCTCTTGTATGATTTCAGACTCTATTGCCAAAAGTATGTCAAAATGTAGGCAGTCCTGGCATTACTGATGTCCTGTTATAAATGAAGACTACCTGCTTCAGCACTACTGCTCTCATTCTGAACTGTGCAGATCCCGTCATACTGCCTCTCACCTTACCTGGCCGCCTCCCTCGGGACTGAGTCCAGGGGACTCGCAGTCTCAGCTAGGAGGGCCATTCCCCTCAGCTGCGGTCTGATGTAATCTCTGACAGGTGTGGCCGGGAGGCTCCACGACTGGATACGTTCCTAAATTCTCCTTATTCTCCTTGCTTTGACTCTTCCCTACATGGAATACTCACTGCCTTACAAAGCTACCTCACAGTTCTTTATTAGACTTCAGTGCTGCTCCTTAACATTCAGTAAAGTAGCACACTACAAAATCAGTACCCCAAAACCAGTCCTCAGTCAGAATAAAAAGACAAAACACACAAGCTACCAGAAGATGATCTTAGCAAGAAGTACAGGCGTTATGAGGGAAACTACAGAACTTCACTGGTAGAAATAAAATTTATGTAAAGTCTACTAATATTTATCGATAGATTTAATGTAATTCTTTTCAAAATCCCAAAGGAATTATTTTTAGAATCTGGCAGAAATGATAATCACCTCAAAGTGTAAACAGATAAGAATAATTGCAAACATTTTGGTGTATAAAAAACAAAATAATTGTGTAGTATTTTCCATCCAGTGATTATGGTTATACAGTAAAGCTGAAATAGCTGAGATAAATATGATCCTGGAATAAAAATGAACAGAGATAGCAGTGGTACCATAAAGTCAGGTAAAAGACCTACCTGTATATTAAGATTTGTTTTTGATAAATATGCCACCATAAATGCATGTCTAAAGAAAGGTTTGTCTAATAAATAGGGCTGGGATAATTCTTAAAATTTTTCAATTTAAAATCTCATCTATACTGTATATGAAATACATATTCCAGATTGACAAAAGAAGTAACTTTAAAAATAGCAACCCTTCACATTCCATGGCCATGCAATTCAGTATTTGTCAGCTATGTGAGAACCCTTTAAAGTTGAAAAGATAGTTAAGAAAGTTCAAAAGAAAAGATCAATATGACTTCCTAAAAATAATAAAAGTAAACAGCAAAATTAAGACAAACAGCAGTTTGTGTAGAATATTTCATTTAAAAAGACAAGGCAATTTCTTATTTCATATATACAAAACTAATTCAAACAAGTAAAGACAGATAAATTGTGGACCAAATCAAAAGTGAAAATTGCTAATGAATATACAAGTGTATGTTTAATTGTAAGTAAATGTACACTCTCAGTTTGGCCAAAATCTTATTTTTTTTTTTAAAAGATGTTATGTATTTATTTATTTGAGAGAGAGAACAAGAGTGCGAGCGGGAGGTGGGGGAGCAGAGGGAGAGGGACAAGCAGACACCATGCTGAGCGTGGAGCCTAAATGCAGGGCTCCATCCCATGACCCCGAGGTCACAACCTGAGCCAAAATCAAGAGTTGATGGTCAACCGACCGAGCCACCCTGGCGCCCCCAAAATCTTATTCTTAAAAAAAAAAAAAAAAAAAGTGTTCCTAGTGATTCCATTTCTAGAAATGTAGCCATAAGACAAAAAATATCCAAAATAACTATTTTAAATTATCTACCATGATGATAATAGCAAACATTGATTATAGTGACTAGGAGTAAATTCACCATGTTCATACCAGGCCTCATCAATGCCATAGAGCACTGGTCACCCAAGCATTATTCCTGATCATCTTCTTGCTTGCTTTTGCCTTTATATTTCCTCTATATTCTCTTAACCTGTTTTATCTATGAAAGGCAGTTTTTAATTTTATAAACATATTTTCTGTCCTTTACTTTTCAAATTCAACTGCTTTCATGAAGAAAAGACTTCATAGTAATAGTTTAACTTTCATAGAACTTAGTTCTAATTTCAGCTAATTGTACTTAGTACTGAATTTCAGCCAATATTTGCTAAATGGGCTTTTGCATACTGTCCTAGGATTCTAACTTGTGTGTATTATTGTGTCTCTGAAGCAATGTGTCCTAAGTTCCTAATAACAACAGCTGTAATTTACTGCACACTTTTGCTGATTACTGGATTAAAGGCTTTATAGACATTTTTCTCATTTAGTCTGTAGAATAATCCTTCAGAGTACCCCTTTACTTACTTCACCTTCTTTTTTTAAGATTTTATTTATTTGAGAGAGAGTGAGTATGAGCAAGGGGAGAGGCAGAGTGACAAGCAGACTCCCTGCTGAGCAAGGAGCTAAATGTGGACATGGGGCTCCATCCGAGTACCCTGAGATCATGACCTGAGCCGAAGGCAGCCACTTAACTGAGCTGCCCAGACACCCCCTTACTCAATCTTAATAATAACCCTATGAGATACTCAATATTTTTATTATCCCTCTTTACTCACAAACAAGAAGAGCAGAGCAAAGTAACGTGAAGTCACAAACCAAGTAGCAAGCCAGATTTGCTCCCAGGTTTCTATGATCCCAAACCCCTTGCTCTTAGTTATAAATGCTATATGCCTAACACTTTGAAACAAAAGATTTCCTTCAGAATTCTTAGGGTATGGGGAAAGCATGTGTTAATAATAATTTCCAAGGCTGTTATCTTTATAAAATTATTTCAGGTTATCCAAGGATCTATAATAAAGTGTGTGTGGTTTGATACAAGTTTTGAAATTAAAGTATAACGATTCAAGTTTTGCCTCATGGCCTATGTTCCAGGATTTTTAATTTTTTTTTTTTTTTAAGACTTTATTTATTTGCGAGAGAGACAATGAGAGACAGAGAGCATGAGAGGGAGGAGGGTCAGAGGGAGAAGCAGACTCGCTGCCGAGCAGGGAGCCCGATGCGGGACTCGATCCCGGGACTCCAGGATCATGACCTGAGCCGAAGGCAGTCGCTTAACCGACTGAGCCACCCAGGCGCCCTGTTCCAGGATTTTTAAAAAATATTAGTTACAGATAAATATGTCAGGATGTGTATGGAGAATAGATCATTGATCCAGAGTAGATGTAAATTTTTAATAGTCTGCTTTCATTAATTATTTGTGAAAAATGTTATTAATATGGATACTTGAGATAGTTCAATATATACTGTTGTTTTCATCATCCTGAAATCCAAAAAGTACAGAAAATCATAATGTATTTGGCAACAAAACCTAACATGAAGGTAGTTGTCTTAGTTATATGAATGCAGGGTGCTGCCCCAGACAGCATTGATGGAATTACATAATATTGCACATGATTCTATTTTTAAAATGTGAAAAAATTGAAAAATTATCAGTTCTGATTTATATCTGGTCCCAGGTGTCTTGAATAAAAAATTATGTCTGTGTATATATGTACACACATATATAAACATACATGTGTATCCAAAATTTTCTACTTAAATTTATAACCTTGTAATCAGAACAGTCTTCATGTACTAAAAACTTAGTATAACATCCCTAAAACATTAGAGAACTAAATAATTCTAAACCCAGTCATTAATGCTCAAGGAAAATAGAAAGATATTTATAAAGTCTATTTAATTACAAATTATTTTGTTTTCCTTACAGAGTAGTAAATATGACAAAATGTTTGCTCTTGGTTCAGTGAAGTTTTATCTTGGAGTGAAAAAGAAAATGAAGCCTCCAACAAGGTAAAGTTTGAAAGGGAAGGGTTTTTGAAAAGTGAAAGTTGTAGGAATATGTATCTATTTAAGGATTTGGAGGTCAGAGGCATTAATCAGGCTTCTTATAAATTATAGACAAAATCTTTGAGCTGCCACAGACATGGTCTTTGAGCTGCCACAGACATGGCAGGGGACCTGTTGCAGATCAAGGGAACTTCTGTGGGCAGATAAAAAAGCATGATGTTCCCACTGAAGTCATATTCCTTGGTGATGGCATTTCTGTTGCATAAAGCAAGAAATCCCCAGAAGGCCCTATCTACTGAAAACACCTGGGTTTTTCTCCGTATTCCATTCCTTGATCAGTCGCACGACCTGGGGACATAAGGAATGTTCCAGACAATTCTACACACAGGAAAACAGCTTCTTGATGCCTGGCTGTGTAATTTGGTAGTAAACCCACAGCACCCAGATGGTGGAGAGGAAGTGGACCCTCTTATACATTGTCCTCCTCTTCAGCCTTTGAATCATGCCAGCATGTGCTTTATGCCATACTTTCTAGTCACAACTTAATTTGATTAGCTAATTAATGTTTTCACAAATACTTATGAAACATTTTCATGAACTGTTAGATGCTTGCTTTGGGTTTCTGTTACTGAAAATGTTTCTCATTTTTGCCTACATGCTTAATGTGTAAATCCAGCACATACACCTGTGTTGCTGATGACACATTCTTTAATTTCCCACAATATCAGTAGGAGAAGGTATATATCTTGTTTTGGCCATTTTCCTAGATATCTATCCTTGCTCAGCCAAGAGTATCTTCGGAGAGATTTCCCTCACTTTCCCATGACATCATAAGACCCCTTCCCTCCATCACCCTTGAGCATATTTAAATTTGTAGCCAAACCCCTCACTTATCATTCACTCGAGATCAGTCATACCCATTGAATCATCACTTGTGAGTATCTGTTCTGTTATACATTGCCACCATTGAATTATCTCCTTAATATCTAATCCTGTTTTCAGTTTTGTACAGTTTCTTTTTTAATATGTATTTACTATGTGTGTTTTTTCCCATCGGATTTAGTTGGGGATTGACGGCGTATTCTGAAAAACATCACTGGTAAGTTAACAGCTGACAGTTTTTGGATTTGATATATTGATAACTTCAGTAAACAAATAATGTTATTGGCAGATCTACAGACAGGAAATGTTTCACCAAAGTGAAGTTAATTTTTTTTAAAAATACTTTGAGAAGAAGAAGATAGATTTGCTTCAACGTTTAGGTCCATTTCAATCCCAGGTGTCCTACTTGCTAGTGCTCTCCTAAAAGAAACTACGTCTGATTTCTCCCTAGTTATTATGTGAGTGTGGAATTCCCCAGCTTTTATGGGATAAGCAGGCAGAATCCAGTTTTATATAAAGGATAAGAACTAGCCAAAAGTTAGTCTAAAAAAAAAACCTTGGCCTCAGATCTTTTCTTTGCAAATATGTACTTTTTTCCATTGATGTCACAGGATCTAGCCAGTCTCCCTAGAGATTGTGCTATGTCTTCTTCTCCCACCCTAGCTGTGTCTGACCAACCACTAAGCCACACGGGATCTGCCTCTTAAATTGTCTTTCTGATCAGGCTATGCCTTCATCTGTGTGGATTATTCCAGTTATCCTAAGTGCTCTTTATGCCTCTGATTTTACTTTTGTTTTCTAGAATATTCTCTATCCAGCCACCAGAGGGGCTCCCTAAAATGCATTGTGTTTCTTTCCTGCATTAATGCTCTTCTACAGAATAAAGTGCAGGATTGTAGGCACAGCACGTAAGGCCCTTTAATATGAGGCTCCATCAGCTTTATTTCCCATGGCTTTCCTTTTTCTTTTTTTTACTTAAGGATAAAACAGTAATCTGTCTTTAATTCACCATACATTCCTTGCTCCTTCATCTTTCCATGTTGAATGTATGTAGTTGCTTTACTGAGCCTTCTCCCACACTATATGCTGCTCCCATCCTCTTCCTGCTGATGTGCTGGACTCAACAGTCATTCTTCTTTCAAACTATAGCTCACATGCCCCAAAGTCTTATCAGGTAACTCTCACCTCTAATCATTACTTACTTCTCGGTTTCTGTAGTGTTTTGCACACATGGGTGCTTAATTATAGAGAGGACAGTTTTTTGGACATGGTAAAGGAAAGGGACAATGTCTTTGTGAGAATCTAATGAAAGAAGCAAGAATTTTTTACAAATTTCATTTTAACATTTTTACAAATAATTTTTCATACAGGAGTAAAAATACATAATTGCCTTGAAATGTCCATGTCATTTTAACATCACTTACTGAATTTTCCTTTTGTAAGAATCCTTTACTGCATCCCCAGGTGTGCTCTTTCTATATTTGTGTTCAACTTGACTTTCTCTTTCTCTGTGTTCTAAGTTATTGGTTTACATGCCTAGCTCCTCTAATAGACTATGTGAACCTTGAGGGCAAGATCTCTGTTTTACATAGGTTTTCAATAAAAGGTTACTGAATCAGTGTTATTGGACACGCAGTAGTAGTTTTTCATTTTTCATGAGTTTTGTGGGTATTAATGTTTATAATCCTAATGATGGAGACTAAGCCTTTTTTAAATGTCTGGTCTTTAGAAAATGTGCGCATATTTTTCTTCTTAGGCTCAATTTCTGGGGAAAAAGATGTTTAACATAATGTACCTGAAAAAGTAAATACATTGACCTTTCTGCCTTTCCAAAAATATTGCTGACCATTTTTCAGCAGTTACCAAAGCCTGTAGCTGTATTTTGTTTAAACTAGCATATTTTACTATTACTTTAATGTACATTTAGCAGAAGCCTGAAGCAACTTATACTGAAATACTCCCATTTTGATTGCATTAAGTCATGAATCAGGAGAAATCCAAAGAGGTTTCTGATCACTTAATAACCAAAAACACACCAGAGAACAGTCTGCTGTCTTTTTGAATTACGTATTTTATAAACCTTGTTTTACAGGCACATTTGTTGTGATAGTCTACAAACTCAGATGGAGTGGATGGCCAATGTCTTCATTGCCCAGGTACGATCTTGGTTTCACCTCTCCAGCAAAGAATAACCACTGCTCATAGGAAATGTTAGTGTGATGTACAAAGCATTTTTTTTTTTTAAGATTTTATTTATTTATTCGTGAGAGACAGAGAGAGGCACAGGGAGAAGCAGGCTCCCAAGGAGCAGAGAGCCCGATGCAGGACTCGATTCCAGGACCCTGGGATCATGACCTGAGCCGAAGGCAGACACTTAACCATCTGAGCCACCCAGGCGCCCTACAAAGCATTTTTAATGAGTTTTGTGTATGCTTTTATTTTCTCGTTTATATGATTTTTAAAATATATGAGAATCCAAATTTATCCATTACTCTTCGAAAGAGAGCTTACTGTCTTTGTTGAGGCTTCTTTTGTTGGCACTCCATCAACTCCTTACCGTAGGAGAGGTGTACTGCTTCAAGATGGTAGTATAAGAAAGAGGAACTTGTTTTACCAGAGTCCCACATTCATCTTCATTTAGAAAAGTGTGCTGTTTTCTTTCTTGTTCTCCCTATGGCCGCCTACTCCCCCACCCCCAACCCTAGCCTTTCCAGAAACAAGGACAGGAACCTGCATTTCTTTAATACTTACTGTGTGCTGGATTCTTCAGAAGAGTTAACTCATGTATTCTTTGTAACAAACCATGCAGGGGGCGTTGCTTGTAGATGAGGGAATAAAGGTAACAAAGATTCTCTAACTAGCTCAGCACCATACATACATTTAGTTAGTGGTTTAAACCCAGGGGTGCCAGAAACTAATACCTATACTCAATTCCCCATTTAGTCTCCTCCCTATAGGAGGACTGTGTCTTTGGGGGAAGGGTTAAATAGTCTCATTAATAGGATTGTTTCTTTCCCCTCAACTTGTTTGGCTGAATTCCCAGCAGTGCTTCCCAAAAGAGCATTGAAATTCACTGGTAACGATTAAGCTGCCACTCTTTATTACTGAGGACATACTTCCCTGTTTCTCTGATAAGTGGGAAGTTAATTCACCCCCAAATTTGGCCCTTACTTGTTTTGAAACCCATTTTCTCTCTTCACTTACTAACCTTTCCGGTGGTTAATAAACACTGCTCTTCTCAGTCTGACGCTACTGTTACTACCTGAAAACACACGCAGAAAAAGACTGTTTTTAGAGACTTTTCCTCTTATTTGTGACTTTTCAGAAATTCAGATATTTTAAAAAGAAAGCAAACTAGTTCTGAAGTGTTTTAGTAAAATTGGAACCATAGAGTCAAAACTGTTACAGTGTCTGTGGTACAACTACTCTGATTTTTTGTTGTTTTTATAATTGAAGTCACTAGACTCTGTGGTTGAAAATCAAGGTATAAATAGAAATATCCAGAAAGCAAAGGTTGCTCTCATGGCCAGCTTCTTTCTCCCTGCCTCATCTGTCCTTCATTGTCTTGGCCCCAGAGATTCAGCCCAATTACTTCTCCTCTGCTCGTTCCACTTCTTTGGATTAAGATAAACACAAAGGCCTTCTTGGATTTAAGGATTTAATGGCTCACTTCCATAGGGAGACAGGAAACTAGCAAATGTTGATATATATATGTTAACACACACACACACACAGTAAGTGCTCCTTACAAGGAGTTCTTTAGGGTGTGCAGAATACTTTTCTAATATCCAACCCCATCTGCACCCTGATTCAAAAGCTCTCTAGATTTTCACTTATGTGTCACATTCTCAGAGAAATTCTCTCCCTCATCTTCAGACCAGTCGGACGTTCAGGCTATAGGAACCCTGAACATTCTGTACGTCAGTTGTATTTCTAATTAGAAAGCGTTGTGTAATTAGATTTTTCATTTCTGCCTCTCCTACTAAAACGTAAACTCCGTGAGAAGAAGGGCTCTGTCAGTCTTGTAAGACCTGTATGGACACCTTCACCGGAGAACCCAATACCATTTACAAAGTACATCGAGCCCCACATTGGGCTCCCTGCTCAGTGGGGAGCCTGCTTCTCCCTCTCCCTCTGCTGCTCCCCCTGCTTGTATGCTTGCTCGCTCGCTCTCTCAATATTTCTAAAATAAGAAAGGGGAGAGAACGTAAATAATTTGACAGAATTTCAAATATATATTAGTTTGATAAAATAAGGGAAAGGAATGGGTGTGACTGAGGTAAGGAAGGGCACTAACTAGGAAAGGTTCTCAGGAAAATGCCTTTCCAAATAGCTGACAGGTGTGTGGAGACATGTCTGAAATTAGGGAGCAAATCATGCAGGTATGCAGGAGTGGGGAAAGCATTCCAGTTACAGGGGCCAGCAAGGACAGGGTCCTGAGATGTGGTTCTATGAACATCATGAAGGGCTGTGTGCACGAAGATGTAAAAAATGAGGACACCACTAAGCATATCATATAGTCCCCATTTAGGAGTGTGGGGAACAGGAGAAGGATTTGATCTGATTTATATTAACTGGAGAAATAATAATTTAGTTTGTTGAGGGCACACTATTGGGGGTCCAAGATGGAAGCAGGAAGAACAGCTGTGAAAAGATGGGCAGCTCAGACTAGGGTGGTAACAGTGGACACAGTGAGACATTAAGATTCAAGAGTAGTTGAAGGTGGAGCCAACAGAATTTGCAGATTGATTGGCTACAGCAGTTTGAGAGAAGGAGTACAAATCAAGGAAGAGTCCTAGGATTTTTTTCTAGCCTTGGGCAACTGGCAAGTAGAAGTGATCAGAGATGCAGAAGAAAATTGAGAGTTCTTTCAGCCATATGAAATTGGAGATGTCTGTTAGACATACAAATAATATGCTGAATAGCAAAATTGGATCTGTAGATCAAAAACTCAGGCAAAGGATGCCTGGCTGGCTCTGTTGGAAGGGCATGTGACTCTTGATCTCAGGATTGTGAGTTCAAACCCCATGTTGGGTGTAGAGATTATTTAAATTAAAAAAACAAACCCTCAGATGAAAATTTGGGGATGCAGTGTAAATTTGGGGGAAGTCAGTATTCAGTTTGCATTGAAAGCCCTGAATTTGGGGTAGATATGAGAATATAAAATGAAAGGAGGGTATGGTACAGGGAGAGGAAGAAAGAAAAGGACAGAAGCAGCAGCCCTGGGGCATTCCAAACTTTAAAGGTTAAGCCGAGGAGAAAAAAAAGAAATGAGAAGTGTTGAGAGGAAGAAAAAACAGATAACCAGTATAGAAAATCCAGTCAAGGAATTTGCTATGCAGATAAATAAGGCTGTGTGACTAGAGAGAAAGAAGAAGAGGTCAGGGTAGGTTTTGGGGTTTCAATTTATTTGTCTTTAAGATGGGAGGGTATGTACTTTGCACAGATGCTAATGGAGAAAATTCAGTAATTGGAAGAAAAAATTGACAGAAGAGGAAAGTGATTTTTTTTTGTATTGGAACTGGGCTTTTTTTTTCCTTCCAAGTTTTTATTTAAATTCAAGTTAGTTCACATCGTATAGCACTGGTTTCAGGAGTAGAATGTAGTGATTCATCCCTTACATGCTCCACACGCAATGGGCTCATCCCAAGTGCCCTCCATCATCCCTCAGTTTGTTCTCTGTAATTAAGAGTCTTTTATAGTTTGCCTCCCTCTCTGTTTTTATCTTATCTTGAGGAAAACGATTATTAAACCAGCAGAGGCCCTGAGCAGACATGAAGCAATGCGAACAAGTGCACATTTGTTCATCGTTGCTGAAAAAATCGCTGTGCACCAGAGTGTCAGACATTATTATTGACTATATATTGTAGCCCATTGAGCACTTTTGACTGAAGAGAAGTTATGTGTAACCAGAGTAAATACTAGGAAGAAAAGGGAGCCTCATTTATATGGCTAAAAGATGCAGGGAGAGTAGTATATTTCATGGTGGGAAAATGAAATTCTTCAGTGAGCTCACCTTCAGTGAGTTAGGGAGGGATATTGGAAGTGTAGGGGTGGAGGAAAGGTGAGAAATAATCTTCAGAGAGTAAGGAAGCCAGTTGCACTATAGTAAAACTTCAACTTAATGCTGAGTGCTTGCCTGAACTTTATAGATTCATCTCACTTTAAATTTAACCTTAGAGTGACCATCTTTTTTCTTCATCAATTGGTAGGCACCCATAGAGTAAGTAGAATTGGGTTTAATTAGGTTGGGGGCTTTGCCAGGCAAGTATGATGAAAGGAGAAGTAGCACAGGACTTGAAGGTATTTATAAGGAGGTGATTATACTTCATGACTTTGAAATCTATGACAGGCTATGAAGGAAGTGGGGGAAGATGTGGAAAGTAGGATGATGTTAGAGAATAGATTGGAGGTCTCAAGGAGTCTAAAGAAGTGAATAAAACTAAATTGTTAGCTGGAAAGGTAAGAGGTCAAGGTCAGAAAGGTCGAGGCAGACTCATGTTCATTGCAGCATTATTCACAATTGCAAAGGTATGTAAACCACCTTAGGTCATGTCAAATGATCTAAGTCCAAGGATGAATGGATAAAGAAAATGTGTGTGTACACAGACACACACAAACATTATTCACCCTTAAATAAGAAAGAAGTATGAACTTGGAGGGCATTATGCTGAGTGAAATAAGCCACACAAAGACTGCAAGTATCACTTATATATGGAATCTAAAAATAAGAGTTGAACTCCTAGAAACAGAGATTGGAAAAGTGGTTGCTGGGTGGGGAAATAAGGAGAGTTTGGTAAAAGGGTACAAACTTTCAGCTGTAAGATGAACAAGGTTTGAGGATCTTATGTAGAACACGGTCACTGTTGAGATAGTTAATACTACACTGTATCACTGAAATTTGTTAAGAGTAGAAGTTAAATGTTCTCACCAAAATAAATGAGATGATAGATGTCTTAATTGACTTGATGGAGGAGAATCCTTTCAGTGCATACATAGATCAAATCATCACATGGTATATCTTCAGGATCCTGTAATTCTGTCACTTATGCCTCAAAGCTGGATGAATGGGAAAAAATAGAAAGTGGGAGATAGAACTGAAGATTTTGGGGTGTGATCATGGTTATAATAATGAAAGATCCTCAGCTATATGATCCATGCAGTATGACTCTTGGGGTCACTTATAAATAACTATAAATGTCAGAATGTATTACTAGGTACAGTGTTTTGTATGTTGGGAAAAATACCTCTTGGATCAATCTGGTAAGAACTAATTAGTATACACAATGTAGTATATCATGTCAGAAAAAAAAAATACGTATTTGAGACTGCGTTTGCTCTTACGTTTCTCTGATTATCATTTAGCACATGCATTATACATCGGTGAGTAAAAGTGTAAGCATAATCCATAGGCTTAATGAATTCCTTTCCAGCCAATTTTCTTTGAGCTTTACGTGTTGGGAACATCCCAATTATATAGTATCAAAATTATTTTTACCAAGTTTGGGGCTGTGACATAAATATAGCATTACAAAGCTTGTAATTTTCATTTAATAATTTACCATTACAGATTTGCTGAACCAAAATAAATGCTTCACTAAAATTCAAGGGCAGATCTGATGCATAGACAATCTAGCAATAAAGATCTATACTGTAGGATCAGTGAAGATTAAATAAGATTATAGTTATATATGTTAAGTGAGATTGTATAAATTTATATGATATGCATTAATGAGATAATGCACACTGATAAGCACCAAGTCTGACAGTATATTCCTCAATATAATCTCGCCATTATATATGGGTACACAGTCAATATTAATTGAAACGAACTCTTTGCTATAAAAGTACTAATTGCAACTTAAGATAGGAATGTGTTGAATCATAAGAATAGGCATTTAGCTATATAGTTTACCAAAAAGTTTTCATTTCATCAGAACATATTTGTAAAGCTTATCATTTTATAATTGGTATTCTATATTTCTTTCATAGATAGAAAATCAGTTTGGATTGAAAATCAGTTTGTTTTGCCAACTTCTGAAAAGTTAATCTACCCTGAGGAGTAGAAAAATTCTTTTTAAGATTTTTCTTTTATATGCATATCTGAAGGATTTATCACTCAGGGGCTTATATTTTTACCTGTGGATATCTCTCCCCATTGCAAAATTAATTTTTCTCCAGTCATATCTATAGTTCTTCAGTTGGCCAGAATATATAGTCAGTAATTTGAGAACAAATGTGCCATACTCTTTTTTACAGTGATTTCAGTATAAACGTCTGTGTGCAAGGTAATTTCTTTGGAATTCAATTAGATGGGAAAGTAACATTTTTCAAAAGGTCATAAAATGAGGCTAATTTTTCTGATAGCTGTGCCTTAGGTTGAATTGAGGACTATATGAGGTTAAATTATTTTTACGCTAAGGTTACCTTTGGGGGAGGGAGAAAATGGATGCATAGTTACTTTGATTACAGGGCCGAGAAATATAGACAAGTGTATTATTTTTTCCCCACAAAGAGATTTGCCAATTTCCTCAAATATTTTCCTCCTTTTGACTTGATAAGTAGTACAGAAGCCATGGATTTGAAACTTAGAAATTGAACTGAGACCGCAAAGCTCTGTTCACTTAAGGGTTTTACATCCTCAAGCGATGCTCCTGTCAGAGTCCACAGCTTAATTACAAATGGCTTTCTCATGGAAAGCAGATCATTTGATTTGGATATATGGAAAAGGAGCCAAGTGACTCTATAACATGATATACCACATAATAAAATCACACACCAACAGCAAACAATTGTGTTTCCTCAGCATGAAAATGATATATGGCCACCAGCTGGAAAGGAACGAAAACGTTCTATAACCAAAAATCCCAAAATTGGAGGTTTGCCTCTGATTCCCATCCAGCATGAGAGAAGTGGAACCCAAGGCCGGAGAAATATTGAGGTAGGTTAGGATTTTATTTGTTTTATATTAATGTACTTAATCACATTAAGACATAAGAAAACAAATGCTATAATTAATTACTTCTTTGGCTTCAAAAGCACAACAATAATCTTTGGAAAGCATAGTAAGTTTTGTATTTTAACTTTTCTTAAAGAGTTTTAATAATGTCATTGACCATTCAATTAAATATGCATAATACCACTTATTTTCTTATCCCTCACATAGCCAAGCAATTTTAAATGTGTATACAGAAGTCTGCCTGGTAAATCACAGTCTCAAATTAGTCTTACAAGTTCACTTTTAACACCCTTACAATAAGCCCAGGGCCGATTATGTCTGGAGCCATGGTAACTAGACTTTCTAGTAACACAATCAAATTCCAGTGGTTTGGGAACTGATGGGGTGTCGCAGTTAATTTAAGGAACTGCAAGATGACCCCTGAGCATCAATAAAAAAGACCTAGCATCTTTCAGAAAATTTGTTTTCCTTCTCACCTTGCGGGGTGGAGAGAACATACATAGCATCAATTTTGACTTGAAGTTCAATCTCTTCAGGAAAGGAGAAAATCTGTTTGCACTCAAAACTCATTAGATACTTTTGGGTTAATGCATGTTTCAATGCCTTAATTGAGCCCCTCAAAGCAGAAAGAAAAGCATGTAAAAGGTGTTATTTCTTTGGGGTTTGGGATTGAGCTGTTTGAATCTCTTTCTTTCCAAACAGAAATAACTTCTTTTAAAAGACTAAAGGTATTTTAATTTAGTGATCAGATTTAAAAAATATTTTTCCCATGTAGATCTCTCCTTGAACATTTACCCCAGTGTAATATTCCTCTTCACTAAAAGATAAAAGCCATGAAAATAATGGTTATTTCCTTTGTTGCCTATTCAGTCATTCTGCACAATTATGGGTTCCTCAGCTAATCTAGAATCTTCCTAAGAACCCAAATTAGGAGACATAGTTTGAACAAAAGAAGCAAACATGGGAGTAGATGTGCCCTACTGGAACCCCAGCTTCTTCTGATATGGATGAGTTATGGAGCAAAGCAAAAAATAAATTATTAGGACCAAATCAAAATACATTAACCAATATCCAGTATAGAATTAGGATGATGACTTATAAATATATAGTGTAATAATTTGTTACCTAATCTTAAATCCAGAATTTTAGAGACAATTTTTTTTTCCTCTTTTAGCATGCTTAAGATCAGAAAACTGATGAACTCCAAACAACAAAGAACTTGTTATAGGCTTTTAAAAATAATTCCATGAAATACTGATGGCTAGAAAAAAAATTTACAAGTAGTTAAGCTAAATTAACCTTTTTGTAAATGTGGTGATTCAACAAATTTGGCAAAGAAAAATTTTAAATGTTCCAATGTTGGAAAACATTGGAAGTTTAAGAAGCATTAAAACAAAATTGAAATTAAAAATTTCACATGAACCATTGAAATGTTTGTTATAGAATTAGATTCATGTAAATATTTAAGAAAATATGTTTATAAAATGAATCATTTTGATCCTTTGTTTTAAAAAGGGAAAATGGTTTAAAATATTGCTAAGTATGGGGTCACCTGGGTGGCACAGTCAGTTAAGCATCCGACTCTTGGTTTCAGCTCAGGTCATGATCTCGGGTTTGTGAGATCAAGCCCCATGTCAGGAGCCGTGCTCAGTGAGGAGTCTGCTTGGGTTTCTCTCCCCCTCGCCCCACACACACACTTTTTCTAAATAAGTAAATAAGCAATATATTTTTTTAAAGATCTATTAAGTATGATATAAGAAAATTTGATGCTTCAGCCATTTGGTAACTTACCATTTCAAGTCTTGTCTTGATTTCATGAGGTTTTATTAAAATATGTGAGGATACCTCATTCAGGCAGGAAGTCTTCCTGGAAAAAGCAACTTCTAAAATGGAGTAGTGAGCTAGCTGAATAAGCCAGGGAAAGTAAGTTGTTGTCAAAGGAAATCATACAGGAAGAGGCAAATACAGTGCTTAAGAATGTACATGCTAGGTCCCACCTGTGATTTGGGTACCTCCTAACTACACTGTGCTCAGTCTTTTTATCTGTAAGCATGGAGGGATAAAAAAAGGCTCTACCTTATAAGGCTGCTATGATGATTCAATGATATCATACTTTAGAATTTATTAGAATAACGCCTAGTGCACAGTTAACATTCTAGTCAAAATAATAAGGAACTTGGAAGACAATATGGGATAATTTACTCATTTCCAAAATTGTCATTTTTTTTGTCATCTGTAAAACGAAAACAATGAGCAAAGAAGAATGATGCAGTTCCAGCAGAAAATGGTGACCTAGAATCATTGCATGCTTCTCTCCTCTGTCCCCATCCTGGAGCACATAAAGAGGCACATTGGTTCCCAACAGGGCACCATGGCATCCCATTCCAAATTCCCACTTCTGTGACCTTGGGCGAATGAGCATTTCTATTTCTGTGTCTTAAAATATAATTTTATAGTTTAATCAATGTTTATTTACTGTAAATAATGCCTCTAAAGCAGTATCATGAGGATTAGTGATAGGATTATATATTTTATAGCATGGAGATTATCAACTAATACAGTGAGTTTAGTAGTGAAAGTTATTTAAGAGCATTTCTGCTGTAATCAACATATTGATCATTGTATGTATTGCTGTTTTTGAGGCCTCCATAACTAGGGGCCTACATCTGGACATAATGGAAAACAGATGTGGGTGCAGACTAAAGCCACATAAGGGATTTCCTATGAGAACACATTCCTGTGCAGGGAGAAGGACTGCTTTTCAGACTGACCTTTCCATTCAAACAACTACTTTTCTCTAAACATACTCTGACACATTCTCTCTTGCTCCTCTAATTTCATAACTTATCTATCCTTTTTAAATTATTAATGTCTTATCTTGTAAGGACAGTGTAGCACATAAACTATGTCCTCCTTTCTCCACAACATGAAAGGTGCTCCCAGCACATCATATTGTTCACTCGAAGCCTCACTGTCCCATCCTCTCAACTCTTTTTTAAAAACATTTATTTGAGAGAGAGAGTGTTGGGGAAAGTCAGAGGGAGAGAATCATCAGCGCAGAGCTCAACATGGGACTCGACCTCAGGATCCTGAAATCATGACCTGAGCTGGAATCAAGAGTCAGATGCTTGACTGACTGAGCCACCCAGGCCCCCCCGCCCCCGGCCCCCAGTCCTGTCGACTCTTAACAGATCACTTCCCTCCCTCTCTCCATCTTCGTATAAGATTACATCTCTTAGGCTAATACTAAAGTTTACTTGAAATTTCAGCATTACCTGCATGAATACTACATCTAAGAAAATCCCAAAGTCTACCTGCTGATGGTTGAAAGATAATGAGAACTGTTACTATGATATGTAAAATCACTATAGACCCTAAGACACCACTAAAAAACCATTAGAAGTGATAAATGAATTCAGTAAAGTTGCAAGATACAAAGTTAATATACAGAAATCTGTTCTTCTAATAACAAAGCAACAGAAAGAAATTAAGAAAACAGTTCCATTTGCAATTGCAAGAATAAAATAACCTGGGAAAAAACTTAAGTGAATGACCTCTACTCTAAAAACTATAAAACACTGATGAAAGAAATTGAAGATGACACAAATGGAAAGATTCTCTATGCTCATGGATTGGAAGAACCAGTATTATTAAAATGTCCACACTACCCAAAGCAATCTACAAATTTAATGCAGTCCCTATCAGGATACCAATAACATTTTTCACAGAACTAGAATAATTCTAAAATTTGTATGGAACCACAAAAAAACCCTGAATAGCCAAAGCAATCTTGAGAAAGGTATCACAATCCTAGATTTCAAGATATAGTACAAATGTATAATATCAGAACAGTTTGGTACTGGCACAAAAGTAGGCATAGATCAATGGAACAGAATAGAAAACCCAGAAATGGATCCACAGCTACATGGTAAACTAATCTTTGACAAAGCAGAAAAGACTATCCAATGGCAAAAAGTCTCTTCAATAAATGGTGTTGGGAAAACTGGACAACTACATGTAAAAGAATGAAATGGGACCACTTTCTTACACCATACACAAAAATAAATTCAAAATGAATTACAGACTTTAAATGTGAGACCTGAGCCATAAATCTCCTAGAATAAAATATAGGCAGTGTTGGCTTCAGCAACATATTTATGGTACATCTCTTCGAGCAAGGGAAACAAAAGCAAAAATGAACTATTAGGACTATACCAAAATAAAAAGCTTTTGTACAGCAAAGGAAACCAAGAAAAGGCAACCTGCCGAATGGGAGAACATATTTGTAAATGATATCCCCAATAAGGGTTAATATATCCAAAATATATAAAGAACTTTTACAACTCAACGCCACAGTAACAAATAATCTGATTAAAATGGGCAGAGGACCTGAATAGACATTTTTCCAAAGACATACAGATGGCTAATAGACACATGAGAAGATGCTCAACATCACTTACCATCAGGGACATGCCAATCAAAACCATGATGGGAAAAAAAAAACCCTCAATGAGATAGCACTTTACACCAGTCAGAATAGCTGGCATCCAACAGACAGGAAATAGCAAGTGTCAGTGAGTCTGTGAAGAAAAAAATCCCTCATTCACATTCCCCTGTTGGTGGGAATGTAAATTTGTGCGGCCACTATGGAAAACAGTATGAAGGTTCCTCAAAAAATTAAAAATAGAAATACCATACAATCAAGTAATTCCACTACTGTGTATTTACCCAAAGAAAATGAAAACATTAATTCAAAAAGACATATGCACCCCTATGTTTATTGCAGCATTATATGGAAGCAGCCCGAGTGTCCATCAATAGCCAAATGGATGAAGAGGTGTATATGTATTGAATGAAATATTATTCAGCCATAAGAAAAAGAATGAAATCTTGCCATTTGCAACAACATGGATGGGCCTAAAAGATACTGTGCTAAATGAAACAAGTCAGAGAAAGACAAATACAATGTGATTTTACTTACATGTAGAATCTAAAAAACAAAACACAGAAACAGATGCATAAATACAGAGAACAAATGGACGGTTGCCAGAAGGGAGGAGGGTTGAGAATGGGCAAAGAAAGGGAGTGGGAAGTGTACAGGTTTCCAGTTATGGAATTAATAGGTCATGGGAATAAAAGGCACAGCATGGGGAATGTAATCAGATGATATAATAGCACTTTAGAATGATGGTAGGTACACTTGTGTTTAGCATAACATAACACAGACTTGTCAAATCACTATGTTGTACGCATGAAACTAATGTAATACTGTGTGTCAACTATACTTCAATTAAAAAAAAAAGTTTATATTTCTCCTTAATTTTCCTCAGGTAAGAGATGCCAAGTGAAACTTAACATGTTTAATATTTATAAACTCCCAATCACAGCCTTATGCTGGTTAGCCATCATTCTTTGCAGGGGAGGGGTTATTTTGTTGTAGTAAATATATGTAAAAATATAAAAACTGTTCATTTTAACCATATTTAAGTGTAATTATTGGCCTTGAAGTATATACATTCATGTTATGCAGCATCACCAATTTCTCAATATTTTAACATATTCAAATGAGACTTTGGAATTAAGTTAGATACTAAACATTTCATCAGTTTTTAGAGTAGAAGAAATGTATTTACCTGAGATATATAATCATAATTTTATCAGAAAATTCCAAGTTACAAAATGTATAAAATACATTTGTGAAAATACTTGTATTCAGCCTGAATTTGTATGTTTCAATTCCAAATCTGGATTTGATGGAATTTAGGAAAATAGAACATATTATACATTTGAAAAATTTTAAACCGACCTTTAATTCACTATTTAATAAGTTAATGATCACTTTCTAAGTGCAGGCACTGTACTAGGTTCACACTTCAGGGAACATATCAAACAAAAACCCTGCTTGCACTGAGTCTTTCTAGCAGGGCATTCAGATAATCACATTAGATAACTGCCATGGAGAAAGGTGGGATGTTGTCTTTTAAACATTATTATATTGAAGATCTTTACTGTTTATGCTACTCACAATTTCATACTTAATGTTATATTACCATTTTCATTACATTTTCTTTTAATATTCATAACTTAAGTGGTCCCTCAGATTTTTGCTTTCTAGGCTTTGCAATTTTTACTGGGGAAATTTTGAAGACGTTTCTTCAATTGTTGCTTCTTGTGAAAAGAAAAATAACTTTTCTCTTTCCACTTCACCTACATCCTGATCCAATTTATTGGGTATCCTTTCTGTGTGGCTCCATACTGCTCTATGCTTTTGATTGTTTGTTCTTGTATGTTACACTTGATTAAATTTTCATACCCTTTGATAATATGATGGAAGTTCTATATGCCAGAAATTGCCCAGTCACAAGATGTTCTGAACACTAGTTAGGAAAGCGCACCTTTACAGCTCACTGAATTAATGTATACTCTAATCCTCAGATACAAAAGTGGGTTTAATACATAACTATATATTTTTCAGTGTTTCCAGGAATGTATCTGTGGGATTCTAATAGGCATTGTGTGGGAGGAAGAAAAAAACAAAGAAGTTAAACAGATCTTTGTGCCATAAAACTTCTCAACATTTTTAATATACTACTATGTACTGTAAGTCTCAAAGAAGGGGCTGTAGTACAAGTATAGAGCATGTCCCCAAATCACGTGGCCACGGACAGGACACCGTAGGAATTACAGATACACGAACGTATGATGCATTCAAGCAGAAATGAATTGGAAGAGGCATGTTGGAAATGAGTCAATCTGAATAACCTGAGAGACTTCTTTGAAGCTATATGTTAAACGCATGTTAAAATGAATTTCCGTGATCTACCTTTCAGTTGATTTTGTAGCTCTAAGATGCCTGTATTGATCTCTTGGTTAGTAAATTCAGACATGCCAGTTCTGTCGAAGTTAGAAATAAACATGAACATAAGGAGCATCAACATTTAACGCGGCATGTGTCTTTTAAACTTACCTTGTACCAAATCTTGCTTTCCTGTGAAATGTTGTATTTTCTTTTCAGAGTGCCAGAGCAGAACTGGAAAGGTTGCAGCTCAGTGAAAAGCGGGATCAAGAGTTGGGGGATAGCAGCTTAAAGGAGAGAGCCTCCATGGTGGCCCACTGCCTGGAACACAAGGATGAGAAACTTCGAACTCGAACCAGAAAACATCGGAGTTTCAACTGTCTGGAGGACACAGAGGCTGACGTCCTTCATGGGCAACAAAAAAGCCATAAAGGCCTCAAGACACTGAGGAAGACTGAGGACAGGAATGGCAAAGCTGCTTTGGACTCTGATAGTAAGTTACCATCAAGGGTAATTGAAGAGCTTAGTGTGGTGCTGCAGCGGACGAGAACCCTTCCAAAAGACTTAGAGGACGAGCAGATCTTGCAGAAAGAGGTAAAATAGTTCTGCACATTGTCTTTTTTAAATATTGTGTACTGTGTGTGTGTGTGCGAACCAGAAACCAAACAGTAAAATTCGTGGTTTGTGAGATTTGTCTAGCTCTACATAAGCATTTAGATAGCATTTAAAAATATATATGTACATATAAGTAGAAGATGACGCTTTTTTAGGTCTGAACAAAGCTTGTACAGTTCAACTGGAGAAGCATTGGGTTACTTTGAGTCAGCCAAGCTTTTTACAGTAGTTGTCTGTTGAATGGTGTAATTTATGAGCAGAAACCTCAAACTGTACTGTATTGTATAAAATGCTTTGTTTAAATGAAGCCTATGATACTGTGTGTAACACATTTTGCACTTTGAGAAACCTTGTATATTAGGTTACCGTATATGTTTTTAGGTTTACATAGGGTCCACCTTACGGAAAAGAAAGGGAAGTTGAAAAGGGGAAGGATTTATTTTAGTGGCTGCCTATCAAACATTGGAGTTTTAAAAAGAGGCAAGGAGTGAACAGAAAACGAAGGAGGTCAATTAAGTTCTGATCCATAGTGAACCAGAGTGAATCTTATCAATGAGAAACTGCTTGTTAAGAAAAAAGTCTAGTGACTGTTTCCCAAAATGATGGACGTTCAGCCAACAACCACAAATAACGGCAGTGGCCACGCTTACTTTCGGTGTTAGTGAACCGGCCGCAGAATACACTCACTACACTTCAGTTCTGCAGAGGGGTCTGCTGACAAGAAGCGTACCCTGCATATGCACAGGACCTGGCATGGACGCCATTTGCACTGTTGCTGTATACTCCTTACTATGGTTTTCGTACAAATTCACTATCACAGGGTTTTGTTATTGTTGTTTGATTTTTTCATTGTTGTTATTTTACTTGGTATTTCATTTCTTATTTTAAGTAAGGTGATAATAGGCTTCTCTGCAATGTCAGAATTAACTGGAGGTTTACAACATAGGGCCATTTGATAGCTTGTCCCACTTTTGGTGGCTACCAGTTCACATTTGATCAAATCTCTTTAAGGGGGGGAAAAAAAAGTCTCCTCCCTGAGCCTAATAAATAATAACAAAGCCCTCTGTTTTTGCTTCCACATCAAGGTCAGCTACTGAGTTGGTGATTTTCCTCCAACAGTCAAGACTACCTAATTATAGTTCACATTAGGAACAGTGCTTTTCATCGATTTCTTAAGAATTTTATTAGGTCTGATGAGTTTTGATTAAAATTATATCGCTAAGCTTTATTTCAACCACTATTTCCCCCTGTTTTTCAGGTGACTTCTTCAGAATCTGTTATACAAAGGCCCATACTTTGGTCAGTCCAATCATAGTATAGTAATATACTCTTAAATGCTCTGAATTTCTTCATTGTAAAATACTAATCACTTATATTTGGTGGTGATACAATATTTTACCATGGGTGTGTGATATTTATGCTTTAAAAAAAATTCCAATTGATTTGGATTTAAAGAAACTGCAGGTCAGTTTATGAAACAGGTATTAGCACTGCTGGGGGAGCCTTCATTTAAAGCAAGAAATGGTATTTAGGAAAAAAAAATCTAAAATAAAACTATTATTCCTAATGATAATATTTATGAGATAAGCAGGCATATGACAACGTTTGACACTGGGAAAGTATCTGGAGTTTTTTACCTGCCTTATCTGAATATTTTTTAAACTGGAGCTTAAAATCTAATAGCCCTGTTTCCCTTCCTTTCCTGTATAATTGTCTCCATTTTTCAAGAGTAAGATAAGGGCTAATGATGATATCTCATATTTTGAATAAAACTTACTTAAAAATGTTTTACAAGTCCATTTGAATGTGATTGTTATTTTCAGAAGTTAAAGGTTATTTTGAAATAAATCCACTCTTCTTTTCCTTTTTAGATATTTGAATATATACTTCAAACAAGCTATGTCATTTTTTTCCTAAACATGTCAGTGTGAATATTGTTCTACTTTAAATGATGAATATACACAGATAGGACACAAACATATTGATGGTACTCTTTCATTTCTATAGCCCTAAATTACTAGACATGGCTTTTAAATATTTGACTTCTAAACAAATTATTACATGATTTATGAAAGTGGCACTGAAAATTCAAAACTAAGCAAAATTGAAGCAAAATGACTTGTGTACATAACTATAATAGCTGCCAATTTGCATTGTTCAGATGACAATTTATAATTCTAAAATACACAAACTGCTTATTGCAAAAGGAAATATTTTTGAAAATGCATCAAATTTATTTGAAGAGACTAGCATTCACATATTTTCATGTTTTCTCAAACTTTTGAAAATCACTATGGGGAAAAGATGATTAAAACTTTTACCGTCTTATCAAAATTTGCACCAAGACTTTCATAATTATCATTCGCTCAACAAAAGATAGAATTACATTTATAATGTGAGCAATTTTCTGTCATGTGTACAATCATGTTTTATCTCTAATCATCTGGAAACGCAAAGAACAGAAATGAATATTAGATAACTAAAATTAATCTGTTTTATAGCTGTTATTTTGAACAATTTTTTATTGCAAATGTTCTAAGTTATATTGTACATTCCTATCTTCTCTGCCATGGCTACCATATGTTGAATGTAAACTTAATAATTTGGATAGCTCTATAGACTTAAGACCTTTTATGAATTATGGGATTCATGTTCAGAATCTAAGTGTCCTCATCTGAGAAGTGGGAATAATACCTAATTTTATATATATATTTATGTATGTGTTTGTGTATATATACAAATATACACATCTCATAGAGTTTTAATAAATGTTACTTATTAATGTATTAGTTTTTCTAGCTCTCCTTTGATTCAAGTCTTGAGACTTCTCATTTTCAAATTGTCTCTATCAGTTCTTTTTTTTCCCCATTGTTTTAAAAATATGCGCTAATACAACACAGTACCACAGGTTGTGGGCTGAATTGTGTTTTCCCACACCCCATATGTTGAAGACCTAATCCCCAGTACCCCAAAATGTGGAATATTTGATGATGGGGACCTTTAAAGAAGTGATTAAGTTAAAAGGAAGTTATTAGGGGTGCCTGGGTGGCTCAGTCGTTAAAGCGTCTGCCTTCGGCTCAGGTCATGGCCCCAGGGTCCTGGGATCGAGCCCCACATCTGCCTCCCTGCTCGGCGGGAAGCCTGCTTCTCCCTCTCCCACTCCCCTTGCTTGTGTTCCCTCTCTCGCTGTGTCTCTCTCTGTCAAATAATCTTTCATTAAAAAAAGAAGTTATTAGTGTAGGACCCAATCAAATCTGACTGGTGTCCTTAAAAAAAAAAAAAAAATTTGGACACATGACAGAAACACCAGGAATGTATGTGCACAGAGAAAAAGCCATGTGAAGACACAGCAAGAAAGTGACCATCTGCAAGCCAAGGAAAGAGGCCTCAGACAAAACCATCTAATATCTTGATCTTAGACTTCTAGCCTCCAACACTGTAAGGAAAGCCCTATTGTTTAAGCTACCCAGTCTGTGGTATTTTGTTAATGAAAGCCCTAGCATGCTTTTATGTTAATCTTAATATAGATATCAAACAGAATACTCCCTGGTACTTATATGTATTGGTTCTTACACTCTTGTTATCCCACCTATCAGAATGTAACATTACATCAATGCAATGAATACAGTGTAATATTACAGCTATCATAATGATTAATGGAGAATAAGAGAACATGTTAAGATATAACTGCTTAGAAGTGTCAGCTAGCCAGATAACTTGAATGCTGAAATAATATAAACCATTGAAAATTTGCCCAGCAAAATTATAGTTTGGGTCTGTTTGTAAAGATTCAAGTTCTGTGACCTCAAGAACACTATTCCAGCAGAGTGAAGATGCTGACTCCTCACACACCTGATAGAGAATACTGTGAATCCTTCCAACGAACAACCCAGAGAGATATTGAGTTCAGTAACTGAGTATTCACTAGAGACATAAAGTCCTTTCAATTAACCCAGATGAGCCAAACCATAAACCTACTGCCTAAGATTGGATCAACACTAACCATCAAATAAAAGTGACATTTGTATCTCATTGGAGGGGATCTGTTCTTCCCCTCCAGTAAATTGTCTCACTTGCTACCTTTTTTATCCCCTCCCATTTTCTCTCTGAAACCTCTTCATTCAGCCTTGTTTCCTGCTATTTACCATAACTGCTCCTGGCAAGGTCAGAACCACCTCATTGCTAATTCAAATGGTCACCTCTCAGTGGTTGTACCTGATCCCCTATCACCGTCTCTAGCATTTCACACAGTTGATCACCCCACCTTTGTGGAATACAACCTAGTATTGGTCTCCAGGATATTTCTATCATGTGGTTTTCTCCTTCACTAATCCATCTTGGATACCTTACTGGATACTCCTCTCTAAATGAATTCCTCTAGCTCAGTTATATAATCTCATAGCTTCAAATAATAGTACATATTCTGACTAAATAGTTTCATTCTAGACTATCCATTGAGCTCCAGACTGTAATTTACATTTCCACTTGAATTGCCCCGTTGTCATTTCAAATATACCATATCTAAAGCTTTTTACATGTTCCTCATCCTTTCCATTCCACCCTCTTCTGCCCTTTCTAGGACTCAGGTACAGAAAGATCAAGCAGATTATTCAGGTAATGATCAACAGAGTTGGCATGTGAATGTCAGCAATCTAGCTCAGAAGTCCACACTTCTAAACTCCACATTAGCTTGCTCAGACCACTGTCCTCTCTTGCCTGAATGATTATGAAAGATGTACTATGTGGAACAAATCACAAATTAATCTTTTTAAATATAAGTAAAGGCCAAATTAGTCTTTTTAAATATAAAATAGTCTCTCCTAACAACCCTTGAATAGCTTTCTATTTCTGCTAAAAGGAAAGTATAAATACAAGCCCAGGAATAATCGGTTTCAATGTACCAACTGCTACTTCTGTCACCAATCTTCACCACCCTCACTTTGATACCAGCATACTTGTTCCTCAGAATCACCAGGCATGAAAATGCTTTAGCTTTGCATGAACTGTTCCCTGTAAGTAACATGCTGTCCAGACATACACATATCTCACTGTGACCTTCATGTAGGTCACCGTCAAATAGTTCCTTAACAGACAGACCTTCTCCGAACATCCCACATAAAATGGCCTCATCACTTTCTATCCCCTTTATCTTCTTACATCATAGAACTTACCACTACCTAACAATTTACATATTTATTAGTGTATATTTTCATGGTCTAATTATTTCCACTAGAATCTGTCAATGTAGGATCTTAGATTACCACTATATTCCCAGTACCTAGAACAGTGCCTCTACCATAGCCTATAGTCACTACTGAAATATGTACTAAATAAATGAAGTCATGGTATAAGGAAATGGTTTGAAGAAGAAAAATGGTCCCACCAAGACCTAGGCACAGTGGATTTAAAAAAAAAAAAAAAAAAATCTGTAAAGGCTATTGCTGAAGTGAATAGGAATGAAAGTGGCAGCATTCTGAGGAAGTAGGAACATTCAAGATATTGTGTAGCTGCTCTTTTTCTGGGGGTATTTACAGAATCTATACACAGGGAAATAAGTTGAAAAATCTGGTCTTTGATCAAGTTGAGAGATGTTTTTTGCAGAGAGAGAAATCCATTTTTGGACCCTTGTGTAGCTAAGGAGGCAAAATTGGAGACTCAAGGGACAAAAATCCCAGGAAAAAGGGAAGAATGAAAACTGGCTATAGCTGGCTTTCCTTTTAAGACAATTTGCTGAATAATGATGCCACATAGGGCAGCAGGCTAATAAGTTCAGTGGAAAAGGCTTCAATAGCAGAGTTGAGTTTTTTAACAGGCTTACAGTACTAAGAAGGCAAAGATTCAAGTTTATTGACTATCATGGAGACAGTCCCCTGTGAACATACAAGCTCCAGTTGGAAACCTTAGAGATCCATATGGTCAGAGCATATATGAATTAGAATCTTAACAGAACATGGTCAAAACCACCTCACAACCTCAATTCATCTCAGTCCCTGACTGGGTCAAGATCATCAGCTTTTTCTGCTAAAACAGGAAAAGAGGAAAAATAATATTATGTAGAGTTCACTGTCTGGCATGGAAAAAAAAAAAAAAAGGCATCCCCCTTCTGGTGCCAAAACCAGATAAAGACACTACAAAAAAAGAGAACTACAGGCCAATATTCCTGATGAACATAGATGTAAAAAGCCTTAGCAAAACATTAGCAAACTGAACCCAAAAATACATTAAAAAATCATTCACCATGATCAAGTGGGATTTATTTTCAGGATACAAGGGTGGTTCTATATTCACAAATCAACATGATACATTGACAAAAGATAAAAACCATATGATCATTTCAATAGATGTAAAAAAAAAAAGCATTTGACAAAGTACAACATCCATTCATGATAAAAACTTTCAACAAAGTAGCTTTAGAGGGAATATTCCTCAACACAATAAAGGCCATATATGAAAGACCTACAGCAAACATCACTCTCAATGGTGGAAAACTGAGTGCTTTTCCCCTAAGATCAGGAATAAGACAAGTATGTCCACTCATACCACTTTTATTCAACATAGTACTGGAAGTCCTAGCCATAGCAATCAGAAAAGAAAAAGGAATAAAAGGCATCCAAATTGGTAAGGAAGAAGTTATACTATCACTATTTGCAGGGGACATAATACTATATATAAAAATGCTAAAGACTCTGCCAAAAAAACTATTACAACTGATAAATGAATTCAGTAAGGTTGCAGGATACAAAAATCAATGTACAGAAATCCATTGCATTTCTATACACTTTAATAAT